TTTATGGCTGTGAGACATGGCGATTGAGAGCAGAAGACATGAAAAGATTAGCTGTCTTTGATCATAGGTGTCTGCGTTCTATCTCCCATGTGAGGTGGTATAATAAGGTGAGCAATATTGAGGTTAGCCATCGGTCGAGTACTAGGTAAGGAGGGGAAATCAATCGACGAGATTGTTAAATTACATCGACTGAGATGGTTAGGACATGTGTTACGTATGCCTGGTCATCGTCTTCCTCGACAATGGGCAATGTTAGCTGACATAGGGCCACACTGGAAAAGAACTAACCAATGGTGGTCAAACCAAAACATGGCATCACCAGTCAATGAAATCCACAACAGTTAGTCTAAGCCAGCCACGTCGGAAGGTGTAGACTTCCTGACTGGTTGGGGTCGTCGGGACGGTAAAAACCAATGGTTGGAAACAATTGGTGACATGGCTCAAAATCTGCACAGGAACTATTTATTATCATGATTATTATTTTATTTTATTCACACACAAACTTGTTACATTTTGGGCACACAAAATCGCGTCATTTGTGCAAGGGCTGAGATACTGCCCGGACGCCTTTGAGACCTAATCAGGTGGTTGTCTTAAGTGACCACCCCCCGTAAGCCTTTGACTTGATATCAGATCCACAAGGCAGCATAGCAACATCACGAGTTGTGTTCCCTTGGATCCTGGTGACCCGAACAGGTTCATATACCAATCGATCCGTTCGAATTCTGGAGGCAAGGTTTACCAGTCCCTTCGCCTCCTAGGTAGACTGGCACCTTCACCAGTCCTGTTGTAAACATCACACGTGTTTGAGTTCATCCTTCCACTTTTGTGAAGAACACCCTCACTGTGTGAACCCATTGGTAGGATACGAACGTGTGACCACGTGAGAGCATCTTGCCTAGGAAGACCGAACTCTACCAACCCTCACTCCTATCAGGTCGGTTATGTGGGCTGCATACACATGAAGTAGAAGGTAAGAAGAAACAAAGACAAAGAGATGAGAATCGTGCTGTGTCACATGGGAAGAATAAATCTAATTGAAGAAATAATACCTTTGAATACATCTCCATTGAAGTAAATTTCCAGCTATGTCTCTGATGCTTTTTAATCATAGTTTCTTCCAGTCTGACAACATATTCAGTTGAAATTAATCGACAATAATCTCATTCTTCATTTTTATGCATTTTTATCTTATGTGAGAAGTGGTCATACAGACGTAGACTAATATTTGTTTACCTTTCAACTGTATATCGTGTGATTTTAGCATGAAAAATGTTTATTATCATACTAAAAATATTAGAATGACTAATGTTTACAGGAATTTATAAGTTTGTGCGTGTCTGTGTGCTCGGTCAGGCTAATATTTATAGATATGTAGGCATAGAGAGCTATGTTACGATGTTTAATTCAGATGGTTATTCATAGTTGTGTGTGTGTGTGTGTGGAAGCTTACTTTGTGTGTTGCTTCAGAAATTAGATAACAGAAACTCAACATAAAGAATGTAATACAAAATAGTACTGAAAATGGTAGAAGATAAAGACTTGGTACAGGGAGGTTTAAGAACACAGTATTCAGCGAAGAGACTCTTTTCAACGAATTTATTATCAAGCTGTACAATCGTATATATATAGTTTTATTATATAAATTATATCCGGTGAGGGAATTAGGTCAAAGGTGTGAATACATGAAATAATAATAATAGTAGTATGGAATGCAATTAAAATATTTGTGATTATAATCATAGTTTAATGTCAAGTGGCAAAATAATTAATGTCGTATATAGAATAATACATAAGGTGTATAGAATTTTGGAAAGGGGTACATAATTATATGATTAGTAGACGAATATAAAATGTTACATAACATGGTGTGAAATTTGATAAGACAGAATTCAATATTGTAAAAATAAAAATATAAAAATGAATAATTTTGGGTTTAAAGTGTCAAGAGGGTCAAGTGGAAAAGATTCAGAGTGAGAATAGTAATCATAATAATATTAATAATAATCGTAGTAATAAGGGAAGAGTACACAGAATAACTAAATAAACAAAAATAAATGAATGTCTATCCCTCTACGGCCAAGGCAGAAGTAGGGATTGTACATACTTCTTCTGTACACAAAGGTCTGGCTTAAAGTCATGAATTGCCAAGGCCTCAGCTGTCTTTAGAAGTCTGTAACGAAGAAAACGCGGGAAGTTAGCATGGATTCGGTAGATGATCTTAAAATCATGGTCAGGGTTGACAGAGTGACAGAAGTCGGTCAGGTGTTCCAAAATAGAGCTTCGCACACACTTCCTTTCTCCCTTGTAAAACCATGCTGGAATATGTTCTCGTATCCGTGTGGAAAGCGTCCTAGGACACCTGATCAACTTCTGTCTCTCTGTAGAAGAAGACAAAGACTTGGTAAAGGGAGGTTTATTTAGAAATTGGTATCTCTATATAGCCAAATTATGTATACCTTATCTTCAGCGCACCATTTGCACAGATTTTCGTGTTGTGGTACTTCTGGACTTCATATTGTGTCTCTTTGTGTTCCTTTCACTTCTCCAATGCATCTCCACAAGGCTGTATCATTTTTTCCTTCTCTGAAATCAAATGTATTTCCCTGCTATTAGATGCTTTTATGCTGATGAACGTCTCTTTATATACTACTAATAAATCTTATCCGTAGCACTCGCCACAGTTTTAGCTGTCATAGCGATGTACACAAAGTTCTTCAACCACTGAATTGTGTTGTAAGGGGTTGATGAAATTCCGTTGATGTTTGAAAACCGTAGAATCAATGCTTTTATTATGATTATTATTATTGATGTTTTGTATTCCGAGTGGAACATAGGGTTGGTTTCAGCGGCGCATCTTCATTCCACTCGATTCTTTGCTATCACTTTCAGCTGGATCCACAACTGCCCACTGCCTTTCATTCCCTCCTCACATGATCTCACCGATACTACCCTTTGATGTCCAAATTGTCGTTTCCCATTCGAATTCCACCCGGCAGCCTGCGATATGGTGCCACCTGATGGTCTCATCAGGGTATTTTCTAATCATAGCTTTGTTGGGAACTAGATTCTTGGCTGGTTCATTGTCAAAGTTCCTTGTTTATTTATGCTTCCTGGCTGACCACCTGGACTTTACTATCAAGCCGGCTATGGCAACTGTCAATGAAAGTTTATGGTCTGTTGCAGTTACCGTTGGTAATGTGCCCATTAATTCTGTGAATCATTATAAAAGCGTTGACTTGTCATTAGTGTTTAATAAAATTCGTATGTTGTTTTCTTGTGCTAAATACTGTGGAACTCCACACCAATTTCAGAGTAGAGAACACTTGAGTAACTTTCCTGGTGCACTTGCTTTAAATCTTCATCCTCATTTAGTAAAATATAACTAAAAGGTATAGATTGATGTAATTTCACCTTGCCAAGTTTTAGCCACAGTTTACTATCAGTCACTCAGTTACAGGTTCTATTTCCAATCGATTGTGCAAATGTGTAGGACGCAAGCAGGCGTTATCAATTCTCATAGGACATTGAGCCTACTGCCTAATGTGTGTGTTTACATGAACTTCAACCTTCAGTGATAGCTAATTAATTTTTCATTTTCCTAGTGTTGGTTTGCAGGGATTTGATTGGTTTACACGTTTGATCGTGAGCTGAGATCAATCAGAGAACCAATGGAAGACCAGGGAGTACTAGACAGATGTTTCGTCCTAGCTTGGGATTATCAAGTAATACGCATCCACAGGGTGTCAATTCCAGAACCTTGTGGGTGTAAGGCGAGCTCATAGACCATTCAGTCACTGGGAGCTGGTCCAGTGGCCCATGAGTCCCATTTTCTATCAATCCACGATATATGCAGTAACTACCATCTTGGTGTACTCCTCTGGTTACGACTTTTCCTGTCGTTTTAGTTAGTTATTTAGAACTGACTTTTCATATGGCCGTGGCAGGCTATAAGCCACACTTGTTATGTAAAGACTGGCAATTATTATTTATTATTATTATTGTTTCCTTAAATTCCTAGAGGAACATAGGGCTTCAGCCGTGCGTCTCCATTGTGTTCGGTTCTCTGCTACAGTCTTCACCTGGCTCCATGTCTGCCCACACGTTTTCATCTCCTCTTCACATGACCTCCTCCAAGTCACCCACCCTCGAACTGAAGACGAACTCGCCGCTTCCCTTTCAGTCGGGTTCCACTCGAGCAATGGCTTATCTAGTGACGTCACTTGATGGTTTGTTTCCTCAGAGTATGGCCAGCCAATCCATCTCCATTTCTTCCTGCCTATTTGTTTCACAATCAGTTCCTGCTGAGTTGGTTCGCTCATTGCCAGAGATCCCTCTCTGTTGCTGATCTTTTCTCGCCAGCCATCTGATCTTGAGTGGTATTGAGCGAAGACAACTGTTAATGAAGGTCTGTAGTTTGTTTGAGATGCTCTTTATGACGCGCAGTGCAAGTCTCTGATCCGTATAGTAGCACTGACTGACTTCACATTGGAGTTGAAAATCCGGCTCTTATTTGTGACTTGAGAGTAGTGAAAGCTTGTCTTACTTTTCCGATTCTTGCTTTGATATCCTCGTCAGTTCCGTTCGCCTGTAGTTGAAACGATGCTTCCCAGGTAGGTGAGTGAAGGAGGTTGTTTCTTTCAGGTGCCTCCCATTTATGCTGATCGTTGTCTGTTGTTGTTGTTCTTGTCCAGGAATATTCATTACCTCTGTTTTCTCTATGTTCACCTGAAGTCCTATCTTTGATGGCAGTGCTATGCAGTTTTTCAGGTTGGAGTAGGTGGAACACGACTCAAACCTTAGACCAATTAACTGAAAGTTGAGTACTTAAATCAATTAGCCATATATGTAGTTAAAGAAATATTCAATGCCCTTTTTGAAGTTGGCTACTGTATTATAACTGTCAAGTTCTTCTGATTTGCATATAATTCTGTTTCATAACACCTAATTGTAAGTCTTCTTGTTTTAATTTTGTTTTAATTTTTTTCGTTCCACAATAGGTCTGATGATCTACAGTCTAAGGCTGGAAGTGATGCTGTTCAGTACTTGAGATTTCATACCTACTTAATCATTTATACTGCAATAACTACAGTTTTATGCTTAGTGGTCATTCTCCCGGTGAATATACACGGCACACTAAAATGTAAGTACTGTAGTTTTTCTATGACTAAATTTAGTAATTTAATCGTCTTTTCTTCATATTATATGATGTGTATATCACTGTAGAGCACTCAATCTTTTTTCTATATGGAATGCCTTATCAATCACAATATGCTGTGTGAACGAGTTTACTGTTCAATATATTATTAATCCGTTAAATGACTTTCATGCCTGCTGTGTGTTTTATTTAACTCAGCTAAACTGAGCTGAGCTAATGAACAGCTGTTAAAGGCAGTAAGCGACAGATAGCTAGCTATTTCATCCTACTTTGCATCAACGATATCCTAGGGGACGAGTTTTTTCGGACTGTCAGGTCAGGTGTTGTGTGGAATACTAACACCATTTATCCAATATGAATTGGAATCCGTTAGCGTAGCGGCGCGGAGTCCACTTTGAAGTCGATCGAGTTACCAATAACTTAAGGGAGGAATATTTGTTTGCTATGTATCAGTTGCAGACCTTTATCAACAACTGTCTTCGCTCTATACTCGAGATCAGATGGCCGGAAAGAATCACTAACAAAAAACTTTGGGAACAAATAAAACAAGAACCAATCGCTCAACAAATATGCAGGAGAAAGTGGAGATGGATTGGACACTCGCTGAGGAGGCGGCTGGGTGACATCGCGCGTCAGGCAAACGCTCGAGTGGAACCCGAAAGGGAAGCGGCGAGTGGGACATAGAGGGTGACATAGAGGAGATTGTGTGAAGAGGAATTGAAACAGTATGGACTAACCTGGAAGCAAGTGAGAAGTACAGCAGAAGACAGAAGCAAGTGGAAACGTGCAGTTGAAGCCCTATGTTCCACTAGGAACCCAAGGGAACAATAATAATAATAATGATAATAATAATGTATCAGTTGATAACAGAAGGATAGATTTCTTGAAATTCATTTGAGAATTACCATAACCGATGAAGTCGTCCAAGTTGGCTTTAAGAATAGATACTCACTGATTATAGTAAATGGTGATTGTGCTGTGTCGCGCGGCTCTACGGAAAGTGGGAGTCAAAAATACGAAAATTCTAACCAAGAAATGGTTTGGTGGCAATGTGCTTTTCTCAAAAGCTGACAATTCCAAGCTATCGAAAGTGGAAGACCTAAAGACGTTTTTTTTCTTTCACGTTCCCCGGTGGAACATAGGGCTTCAAGTTAGCGGCTTGAAGTTTCTCTAGCAGTGTTTATTTTTACAGGATGGGGTTGCTAGCCTCATGTCTAACCTTTCATCTTCACCAGCATTATTTCTGGCTTAGCGAGGTGAAAAAAGTGCGTCGGACGGGGATCAAACCCCGGACCATGTGCATGGTCGGCGAGCATCCTAACCGCTATGTCATCGACGCACTCCTAAAGACGTTAGCTAACTTTAATCTATTTCTCGTGTTTTTGTGGTATAGTATGGTGAGTAATACTGATGTTAGGCATAGTGTTAGGTAAGGAGAGTAAGTAAATCGATGAGGTTGTGAAGCAGTATCGATTCATATTTCTGAGGCACTTATTACACATGCCAAGCCACCAGCTTTTTCGACAGCCAATGCTATCTAGCATAAGATTAGTTCGGAAAAGAGTTAGGAGTGGTAAAATCAAAACCCGAAGGTGGCAGCTGTTGTTAAAAGTATGTAACCTGTTGGAAACTCTTTTTGTGACTGCTTTCACTAACTTACACCATCTGTGGCGTAGGCGTGACATCCGGCTATCAACCAAGGGACGTGTGCACTGCTCAGCAGTTCGTTCTGTCCTTCTCTATGGTGGTGAGACGTGGCCATTGAGAGCGGAAGACATGAAGAGATTGTCTGTTTTTGACCACAGATGTTTACGATCTCTCTCTCGCGTTAGGTGGCATAATAAGGTAAGTAATGTTGACGTTAGGCATAGAGTGTTGGACAAAGAGGGAAAATCAATCGAATAGGCTATAAAGTTACATAGATTGAGATGGCTAGGTCACGTGCTGCGCATGCCTAACCATCGCCTCCCCCACCCCGAGGGCATTACTAGCTGATATAGGTGCAGGTTGGAAAAGAGTAAGTGGTGGCCAAACAAAAACGTCGCATCAATCAATCCATGAAATCCTCGACAGACCACATAGCAATAAGCCATCGTTGGCGTGGGTCGGTAGGAGATTGTCGCTCCTTCTGAAACACGTGTGTAGATACCGATCACGCACTGGTCCGCGCTCGTGTGTGCTTACGACTGAACGGACGTAGGAAACAGCTGGCGGTAAACCCATCACGTCCCCAGCTCGATCTGGAAACTAAGTCCCTATTTGAGGAAGAACTAGCTAAACACATATCTGAGTTAGACAGCTGCGCTAACCCTGAAGAAGCCTGGAAGAATATTCAATCAGCCATAGATACAGCTGTAAAAGCTGTGAATAAGGTAAATCCAAAGGTGAGTAAAAACCATTGGATTTCGACTGCCTCATCCGAACTGATGGATGCTAGAAGACTTATTCCGGCGAGCTCCGAATTCAATGAAGAGCGAAAGCTGCACAAAAGGAAACTTACGAAAAGTCTCCGCAAGGACCGTGAACAGTGGTGGTTGGCAAAGGCGAAAGAGATGGAAAAAGCATCGGCGATAGGCAACACTAGGCAATTCTTTAGACTCATCAGGGAAACGGGTGGGAGAAGGCAAATCATAAGTGAGACTATTTCTGAGAAAAATGGCTCCTTAATTAGCTCTCAGGATAGACGCCTAGAACGCTGGAAAGAACACTTTGAGGAACAATTTAACTTGCCTACAACCACACTGAGCCTCCCCGCCATCCAGCACACACCCGAATGGGATATAGACACTGGCCCGCCGTCTGTAAGTGAGGTCACCAAAGCTATCTGTAATTTGAAACGAGGAAAAGCGGCAGGACCCGACGAAATTATTCCGGAGGTGTTTAAATATGGGGGTTACATACTAGTATATAGTTTGACTAAGGTACTAGGTAACGTCTGGGAATCAGAGACTGTTCCATGAGACTGAAGTAAGTCACTTATCATACCAATATTCAAGAAGGGAGACAATTCCTCATGTGATAATCATAGAGGAATCAGCCTAACGAACATAGTCTCTAAAATCCTAGGCTCAGTAATCATCAACAGACTAAGCCGAACTCGGGAGGAACAAACGAGGGAAAATCAAGCAGGCTTTAGGCAAGGTAGAGGGTGCATAGATCATATCTTCGCTCTCCGACAGATCCTAGAACACAGACACAATTTTAGGCGTCCAACAATTGCCATATTTCTTGACTTGAAGGCGGCCTTCGACTCCGTGGATCGAGAGGTTCTATGGCAATGTTTGACTATGAAGGGAGTGCCAAGAAAGTACATTGCACTAATCAAGGCACTCTACTCAAACTCACGTAGCTGTGTAAGGGCTTATGGGGAATTGTCATCTGAATTGGTAACAACTAGTGGTGTCCGTCAAGGATGTCCACTTCCCCTTTTCTGTTTAACTTCATCATAGATATGCTAATGGAAGTATCCTTAACTGAACTTAACGACTTAGGAATCGACTTGTTACCAGGGAATAGTCTTATAGACTTAGAATACGCAGACGACATAGTCCTGTTAGGAGAGGACGCTGACAAAATGCAGAGTCTTCTGAACACCTTGAGCAGCAATCTTCGTATGTTTGGCATGCGATTCGCCCCTGTGAAATGCAAGATGCTGCTACAGGACTGGACTACGTCAACTCCTAGCTTAGTGATAGGGAGTGAAGTGATAGAACATGTTGACCACTTCACCTATTTGGGAAGTTGTATCAGCACCAACGGACTGATTGGCGACGAAATCACAGCACGGATCCAAAAAGCTCGGGCTGCTTTCGCTAACTTACACCGTCTCTGGCGTAGGCGTGACATTCGGCTATCAACCAAGGGACGTGTGTACTGTTCAGCAAATCACTCCGTCCTTCTCTATGGCTCTGAAACATGGCCAATACGAGTTGAAGACATGAAAAGGTTGTCTGTTTTTGACCACAGGTGTTTACGATCTCTCTCTCGCGTTAGGTGGCATAATAAGGTAAGTAATGTTGACGTTAGGCATAGAGTGTTGGACAAAGAGGGAAAATCAATCGAAGAGGCTATAAAGTTACATAGATTGAGATGGTTAGGCCACGTGCTGCGCATGCCTAACCATCGCCTCCCCCACCCCGACGGGCATTACTAGCTGATATAGGTGCAGGTTGGAAAAGAGTAAGTGGTGGCCAAACAAAAACGTCGCATCAATCAATCCATGAAATCCCTGACAGTTATACTGAGTCAGGTAGGGAGATGCAGACTTCCGGGTTGGGGCCCTCGGGACTCTAAGAATCAATCACTGGCTGGAGACAATAGGTGACGTGGCTCAAAATCGTTGTCAATGGCTTACGCAGATGTATTCAGTCTCTGTAATCTTTCATATTGCTTTCTACCATTACTCATTCTGTTTGACTCTTATACTTGTCAAAACTCTATTGATTCTCCTCACTCATTTTATTGTCTACCTTTTTGTGCTATTTGGAACGTGGCAACTCGAACAGCTGCACTTCGGTGCCAAGTTCTATGTTGAATCCAGCAGCAGCAGCAGCGACAGTTAAACTGAGTCAGGTAGGGAGATTCAGACTTCCGGGCTGGGGCCCGCCCTCGGGACTCTAAGAATCAATGGCTGAAGACAGACAATAGGTGACATGGCTCAAAATCGTTGTCAATGGCTTACGCAGATGTATTCAGTCTCTGTAATCTTTCATATTGCTTTCTACCATTACTCATTCTGTTTCACTCTTATACTTGTCAAAATTTTTATTGATTCTCTTCACTCATCTTTTTGTCTACCTTTGTGTGCTATTTGGAACGTGGCAACTCGAACTGCTGCACTTCGGTGCAAAGTTCTATGTTGAATCCAGCCAGCCAGCCATTTGGTCTTTCCGATTCTGGCTGGCTTTGACACCTTCACCCGTTCCGCCTGTAGTTGAACAGATGCTTTCTAAATAAGTGAAGGAAGTAACTTGTGTCAAATCTCT